GTTCTGAGGAAGGGTCACTGGACCTGAAACGTTAACTCTGTTTTTACCTTCACAGATGCTGCCAGACCTGCTGAGCTTTTCCAGCACCTTTGTTTTTGTTCCTAATTTACAGCACCCGCAGTTCTTTCGGTTTTATCTTGTTAAAAACAACGAGCAAATTATCTTTTGGTATGTATTTGCTCACCATATTTCTGTGTACCATCGAAACTGGCAATGCTGTCTTCTCTGTATCATCAATGCTGAATTTTGAATCTAGTGGAAGAATTTGCGATGAAACAAGGGCAGATTTCAGATTATGGATCTCAGGCCAAGGCAAAACAAACAAAACAAGGTTTGAGTGAATAGCAGCCGTACCGAATTCAGACGATGTATTGGAGTGCTGCCTCATCCAGCTTCCGTGGTCTGACACTTCAGTGTGTGCAGGCTTATCGTAGTCAGGTGGGATCCAACTCTCCGGAGGAGGGTGCATTGCAGGCATTGCAGGTTTCCCATAGCTTGGCCGAGAATGAGGGGAAAGCATGCTCTCCAGATTGTATCTGAATGCGTTCCAGAGAGAGAGAGACGGTCTAGTGTTTAACAGCAGGGCAATGACTAAATGTGATCAATGCTGCTAATAACAAAGTCTGAGGAGAATCTGGCAATGTCGATACATAGGTACATAGAAAACAGGAGTAATAGCAATAGTGTAACCTTACTCAGAACCTGTTCCGGCCATAATCTGATTGCCATTAGACCTGACAACTCTGTTAAAAACGATAGATGACTACTGTTCAACTCAGTAAAGTGGGACACAACCAAAGCATTTTCTTCTGAAACTCTTCATACCGTCCAGTTGTCATTAGTTATGTATCCTCAGAATGGAATAGCACAGAAGATGGTCATTTGGCCAATTTGTGCCAAAGAGCTGTTGAATTACTCTCCTTCCTTTGCTCTTTCTCCATGGCCCTGTGTGGATGAGGAAAAGGGCTGCAGGGAGGATGAGCCAACTGACCGCTGCACAGGGGGACCACTGACCACTGGGAGCAAAAAGCCAAGTGGTAGTTGTAGAGGGTTCTATTATCAGGGGAATAGATAGTATCCTTTGTAAGCAGGATCGAGAGTCCCACATGGTGTGTTGACTGCCCAGTGCCAGGGTAAGGGATATCTCTGACCAGCTTGAAAGGATATTGGAGAGGGACGGGGAGGATCCAGTTGTTGTGGTCCACGTTGGAACAAACAACATAGGCAAGATTAGGAAAGAGGATCTGTTCAGGGGTTATCAGGAGCTAGGAACGAAATTAAAGAACAAGTCCTCAAGGGTTGTAAGCTCCTGATTACTGCCCGAGCCACATACAAATTGGCATAGGGACACGAGAATAAGGGAAGGAAACACATGGCTAAAGGAGTGGTGTGGGAAAGAGGGGTTCCTTTTCATGGGGCACTGGCATCAGTATTGAAACAGGAGGGATCTCTACCGCTGGGACGGTCTCCACCTGAACTGAGCTGGGACCAATGTTCTAGCGAAAAGGGTAAATAGGCTGGTCAACAGGACTTTAAGCTAGAAAGTGGAGGGAAGGGAAGGCTAAACCTTCCCCCAGTGGGGAACAAGGTAACAGGTTAACATCTGTAGGGGTGGATTCAATTGTGTGGAAATACATGACTAAAATGACAGGAAAGAAGAACTCAGGAGAGGTTATTAAAGTCTCCAGCACAGACCCAAATAGGACAGAGTATTTGGAAAGTGTTAGGAATCAAATTTCAAGCACACTGGATAAACGAGAGACAATGAGAAGAGGGAGGGTTAATACAGGACTGAAGGCGTTTTACCTGAATGCACGCAATATAAGAAAGAAGGCAAATGAGTTTATGGTGTAGATCAAAATTGGCAGATATGACATGGTGGGTATGACAGAGACATGGCTGCAAGGGATCAGGATTGGGAGTTGAATATCCAAGGATATATATCCTATTGAAAAGACAGGCAGGTGGGCAGAGAGGGTGGGGTTGCCTTATTAGTAAGAAATGAAATTAAATCAATAGGAAGAAACGAGGTAGGGTCAGATGGTGTAGAATCTGTGTGGGTAGAGCTGAGAACCGCAAAGGTAAAAACAACCATAGTTGGAATTATGCACAGGGCTCCAAACAGTAGTCAGGAGCTGGGGTGCAAGATACACCAGGAGATAGAAAAGGTGTGTAAGAAAGACAAAGTTACGGTGATCATGGGGGATTTCAATATGCAGGTGGACTGGGAAAATCAGGTTGGTAGTGGATTGCAAGAAAATGAATTTGTGGAATGTCTATGAAATGGCTTTTTGGAGCAGCTTGTGGTGGAGGCCACAAGGGGACAGACAATACTGGATTTAGTGTTGTGCAGTGAGGCAGACTTGATAAGGGAGCTTAAGGTGAAGGAAGCTTTAGGAGGCAGTGATCATAAGATGATAGAATTTACTCTGCAATTTGAGAGGGAGAAGATAGAATCAGAGGTAATGGTATTAACAGCTGAATTAAGACAACTACAGAGGCATGAGGGAGCAGCTGGGCAGAATTGACTGGGAGAGGAGCCTAGCAGGAAAGACAGTGGAACAGCAATGGCAGGAGTTTGTAGGAGTAGTTCAGGAGACACAGCAAAAATTCATCCCTAGGGAAAAAAAGCATGGTAACTGGGATAATGAGGCAACCATGTCTGACTAAGGAAGTCAGGGATAGCATTAAAGCAAAAGAGAAAGCATATAATGTGACGAAGGGCAGTGGGAAACCAGAGGATTGGGAAGCTTACAAAGACCAACAGATGGCAACAAAAAAAAAGAAATGAGAAAGAAGATTAAATATGAGGAGAAGCTAGCAAGTAATATAAAGGAGGACTGCAAGAGTTCCTTTAGATATATAAAGGGCAAAAGAGAGGCAAAAGTGGATACTTGGCCGCTGGAAAATGACACTGGAGAGATAATAGTGAGCAACAAGGAAATGGCTGAGGAACTGAACTTTGCGTCAGTCTTCACAGTGGAAGACACAAGTAATATCTCAAAAACTCAACAGAGTCAGGGGCAGAGCTGAGTATGGTGGCCATCACCAAGGAAAAGGTACTAAAAAAACTGATTGGCCTGAAGGTGAATAAATCACCTAGACCAGATGGACTACAACCCAGAGTTCTTAAGTAGATAGCTGAAGAGATAGTGAAGGTGTTAGTGGTGATCTTTCAGGAATTGCTAGAGGCAGGGAGGGTCCCAGAGGACAGGAAAATTGCTAACATGATAGCCCTGTTTAAAAAGGGAGTAAGGCAAAAGACAGAAAATTACAGGCTGATTAGCCTAACCTCGGTTGTGGGTAAGATTTTGGAGTCCATTGTGAGAGATGAGATCTCTGAATACTTGGAAGTGCATGGTAAAATAGGACAAAGTCAGCTTGGTTTCATCAAGGGGAGGTCATGCCTGACAAATCTATTAGAATTCTTTGAGGAAGTAATGAGCAGGGTAGACCAAGGAGAGCCAATGGATGTTATCTGCCTGGATTTCAAGAAGCCCTTTGACAAGGTGCCGCACAGGAGGCTGCTGAGTAAGATAAGCGCCCATGGTGTTAGAGGCAAGGTGCTAGCGTGGATAGAAGATTGGCTGTCTGGCATAAAGCAGAGAGTGGGGTTAAAAGGGTCTTTCTCAGGATGGCAGCCTGTAACACATGGTGTTCCACAAGGGTTAGTGTTGGGACCACAACTTTTCACTTTATACATTAATGATCTGGATGAAGGAACTGAAAGTATTCTGGCTAAGTTTGTAGATGATACAAAGATAGGTAGGGGGACAGGTAGTATTGACGATGTGGGGAGGCTGCAGAAGGATTTGGACTGGTTATGAGAGTGGGCAAAGAAGTGGCAGATGGAGTACAATGTGGGAAATTGTGAGGTCATGCACTTTGGTAAGAAGAATAAAAGCATGGACTATTTTCTAAATGGGAAGAAAATTCAGAAGCCTGAAGTGCAAAGAGACTTGGGAGTTCTAGTCCAGGATTCTCTCAAGGTAAACTTGCAGGTTGAGTCAGTAGTCAGGAATGTTGGCATTTATTTTGAGAGGACTTGAATATAAAAGCAGAGGTATACTTCTGAGGCTTTATGAGGCTCTGGTCAGGCCACATTTGGAGTATTGTGCGCAGTTTTGGGCTCCATATCTCGGGAAGGATATACTGGCCCTGGAGCAGGTTCAGAGCAGATTCACCAGAATGGTCCCAGGAATGAAAAGCTTAACATACGAGGAACATTTGAGGACTCTGGGTCTATACTCAGTGGAGCGTTGAAGGATGATGGGGGATCTAATTGAAACTTACAGAATACTGAATGGCCTGGACAGATGTTGGGAAGATGTTTCTATTGGTAGGAGAGACTAGGACCCGAGGGCACGGCCTTAGAATAAAGGGAAGACTTTTTAGATCGGAAATTAGGAGAAACATCTTCAGCCAGAGAATGGTGAATCTATGGAATTCACTGCCACAGAAGGCTGTGGAGGCCAGGTCATTGAGTATATTTAAGGCGGAGATAGATAAGTTCTTGATTGTCAAGGGGATCAGGGTTACAGCGAAAAATCGGGAGAATGAGGTTGAGAAACTTATCAGCCATGATTGAATGGCAGAGCAGACTCAGTGGGCTGAATGGCCTAATTTCTGCTCCTTTGTCTTATGGTTTTATGGTCTTATTTTTCCCCTTTTATTCTATTTCCTCAAAAGGGTTTTTATTAAATTTTCTGTCACCACTCTTTCAAACACTGCATTCTAGATCAGAACAACCTTTGGTGTAAGTAGTGAGGCCACTTTTGGAGTACTGTGTACAGTTCTTGTTGCCATGTTATAGGAAGGATATTATTAAATTGAAGAGGGCTCAGAAATTTTTATTTTATTCATTGATGGGAGGAGGGCATCGCTGGCTAGGCAGCATTTATTTGCCCATCCCTAATTACTCAAAGAGCAGTTAAGAGTCAAACACATTGTTGTAGGTCTGGAGTTACATGTAGGCCAGACCAGGTAGGAATGGCAGTTTCCTTCCCTAAAGGGCATTAGTGAACCAGATGGGTTTTTCTGACAATCAGCAATGATTTCATGGTCATCCTTAGACTATAAGTTCCAGATTTATCTGGATGTTGCCAGGACTGGAAGGTTTGAGTTATAAGGAGAGGCTGGATATGCTGGGACTTTTTCACTGAAGCATAGGAGGTCGAGGAGTCACCTTGTAGAGGTTTACAAAATCATGGGGAACATGGATAAAGTGAATAGCAAAGGTGCTTTCCTTAGGGTGGGGTCATATTTTTAAGATGAGAGCAGAAAGGTTTCAAAGGGACATCGGGGCAACTTTTTTCACAAAGAGGTTGGTTTGTATGTGGAATGAACTGCCAAGGAAGTGGTAAAAGCAGTTACAGTTACAACATTTAAAAGACATTTGGATAGGTAAATGAAGAGGACAGGTTTAGAGGGATATGAGTCAAACACAGGCAAGTGGGACTAGTTTAGTTTGGGAAATTGGTCAACATGGACAATTTGGATCAAAAGATCTGCTTCTGTATGACTCTATGACTATATAGCAGTTTTCAATAGGTATTATTCATCTTATTATTTCCGATTCCCCCTGTGTTTGGTACACTTTCTTCAGGGTTTCAATGTGGAAGCCCTGATGTACCAGCATGGTTGCATAGTACTATTGATGCAGGATTAGTAATCCAAAGGCCTGCACTAAATCAACTGGATCATGAGCTTAATTCCCAAAATGACTCCAAATAATTTAAATTCAACTGATTAAGTAGAATCTGCAATTAAGGGGACAAAAGCCAATTTACGCAATGGTGATTAGGAAACTGTTGGATGGGCTCTTGTGGAGCAATGGTGGTGTCCCTGCCATTAGGTCAGGGGGTCTTGTTTCAAGTCCCATTTGCTCCAGAGGTGTGCCATAACATCTCTGAACAGATTGATTAGAAATATATAGGAATTTACTGGATTCTCATTAAAACTCTTCTGGTTCACTAATAACCTGGGGATGGAAATCCGACATCTTCAGCTGGTCTGACCTACAAAAGACTCCAAACCTACATCAATGTGGTCGACTCATAACTGACCCTCTGAAATGGCCTAAGTTGTATTGTGGAAGGTAGCTTACCAAAGCCTTCTCAAATTCAACTAGAGATGGGCAATAAATGCTGTCCTTTCCAGTGATAACCATGTCCCATGAATGAATAAAATCAAAATATGTATTTAAAATCCAATTTATAAATTAACAATGAAATCACTTTGTGAAGGTGTAAGTTTAAAGAACTTTTGCAGCAGTAATATAGATTCCAAGTCAGATCTGGATTAGAGTACAGAGATTTGGTCTTTTTACCTGCAAGGAGTAGTCTATCAAAGGCTTTTTAAAATTCAATGATGGAAAGTGGAATTTATTGGCAAAGTCAGCATTTATGACTAATCCCCAATTCCCTTACAAGGCCCACGGTGAAACTAAGGATCAAGTTGCTAAAACAGACATTTTCTTTTTTCTTTTAAAAATCATACGATGACAACCACAGACACCATCGCTAGATTAAAAATTCCAGACCAGTTAACTGAATTTAAATGCTACAATGGGATTTGAACTCATCTAACTTTTCCCTGAAATCGCAGAAAATGCTAAACCTGCCCCTACACCTCCCCCCTCACCCCCATCCCAGGCCCCAAGAAGACTTTCCACATCAAGCAGATGTTCACCTGCACATCTGCCAATGTGGTATACTGCATCCGCTGTACCCGGTGTGGCTTCCTCTACATCGGGGAAACCAAGCGGAGACTCGGGGACCGCTTTGCAGAACACCTACGCTCGGTTAGCACTAAACAACTGCACCTCCCAGTCACGAACCATTTCAACTCCCCCTCCCATTCCTCAGAAGACATGTCCATCCTGGACTTCCTGCAGTGCCACAACGATGCCACCTGAAGGTTACAGGAACAGCAACTCATATTCCGCTTGGGAATCCTGCAGCCCAATGGTATCAATGTGGACTTCACAAGCTTCAAAATCTCCCCTCCTCCTACCGCATTCCAAAACCAGCCCAGCTCGTCCCCGGCTCCCTAACCTGTCCTTCCTCCCACCTATCCCCTCCTCCCACTTCAAGCCCCACCCCCATCTCCTACCTACTAACCTCATCCCGCCCCCTCGACCTGTCCGTCCTCCCTGGACTGACCTATCCCCTCCCTAACTCCCCACCTCCATCTTTACTGGCTCCATCCCCGCCTCTTTGACCTGTCTGTCTCCTCTCCGCCTATCTTCTCCTCCATCCATCTTCTATCCGCCTCCCCCTCTCTCCCTATTTATTTCAGAATCCTCTTCCCCTCCGCCATTTCTGTTGAAGGGTCTAGGCCCGAAACGTCAGCCTTCCTGCTCCTCTGATGCTGCTTGGCCTGCTGTGTTCATCCGGCTCAACACCTTGTTGTGTCAGAGGTTCTGTTCACTCTGAGAGCTGGCTCTGAGGAAGCTAGAGCAGTATCAAGGGCTCTCCGTGCACAAATAACGGGTGACTTGGTGATGACAAGATACCAGCCTCTGTGGAGTTATTTTATGAGATTATTCAACCCAGAGCTGATCAAAGGGGATGCAGAACCTCCTCCTCGTTCTACTCTTTATGTTCTTATGAATTACAAACCTCAGCTTGTGCTGGTTTTCTTGTTCCTCTTTGAGACCTCTGAGCATGTTATCAATATCGATCTGTATTAGTTCAGCCTGTTCAAATAAAAACAGAGGTACAGCGATAAGCATACTCAGTAAAGCTGGATTTAAGGTTATTTATAATAAAGTGAATCATATCTCTCTCATTCACTGGGTCCGAGATGACTAGAAAACAAGAATATCTCAACTAAAATGCATTATTTTATTGGCTGAAGTTTTCTGTATGTGTCGGTGGGCATGTGTGTGAATCTGTGAGTGTGCGTCCATCTATAGGTTTGCACTTGTATGAGTCTGTAGATGTGTGCATGTGTGCGAGTATGTGTGTACCCGTGTATGTCTGTGTGTGTGTGCACATGTGTGCGTGTGTCTGTGTGTGCATATGTGTGTATCTGTGTGTGTATGCATGTGTGTGTCTGTGTGTGTGCATATGTCTGTGAGTGAGTGTGTGTGTCTGTGGGTGTGCACGTGTGAGAGTTTGTGTGTGTGCGTCTGTGTGTGAGTGTGCATGTGTGTGTCTGTGGGTTGTATGTGTGTGACAGTTTGTGTGTGTCTGTGGGTGTGCACGTGTGTGAGAGTTTGTGTGTGTGTGTCTGTGGGCATGTGCAGTAGGATCAGGGCTAGCTTGCATGTGTGTATATGTGTGTGTGTGTGTGTGTGTGTGTATGTGTCTGTTGGAAATGATTGTGGAAAGAAGTGGCCTTTCAGGTTATTAATCAGCTTTCTAAAATTACACAGTCCTCCAAAGGGGAAAAGCATGAATAAGGAGAATTATTGCCATGTTTTCCAATGTTCTGCATTGGTACCCATCTGTTTCTATTATCTTGTACTTCTTCCAAGCCCGCTGTGGGGAGAGAGAGTAAAAGTATATATTTTTAAATATGTGAGCTGTGCCTTTTTTGTTTCTACTTTCATGGTGTGTCAGCAGGACTGATAAGGCCAGCATCCCTAATTGTCCTGGCACTGATGAGCTCTCAGTTATTTCAGAGTCATAGTCATACAGCACAGAAACAGTCAAGCCTGTGAATCTGGAGTCACTTCAGTAACATTAGTGGGTTTTTACAACAGCAGTTTGTCATGGTCACCGTTATGAAGACAACTTTTATATTCCAGAATAGTTTACAATTAAATATCCAAATGCCACCTGTTGGTGTGGAGGGCTCTAAACTCACATCCTTATTGTTTTATAAGGTTCGAGAGGTAATGTAACATTACCACTTAGTCACCAACCTGCACTCAGAGTATCAGAGCTCCTTACACTTAGCATTTTACAAAGTATCTGTCCCATTTCCCTTAGCTTTCTTTTAATGCATACTCACAGAGATTTCCTCACACTGGAACAGGAACACACTGGTGTTCTTCTTGCTCCTGTCTTTAATAGTGACGGCCAGCACTGAGTTGTAGATACAGCTGTTCAATATCGCCTGACTGTCTCGAATACTCTCAATGGGGAAGAGTTCCAAATCATCCTAGATAATTAACCAAAGAGGGATTTGCAAGTATCCATCTCTCAAGTACAAACCAGAAGGACAGGATCTTTCAATGCATTTACTTTAAAGTCCTGTCCCTTTTTAGATTTTAATTTGAAGTAACATTGAGCACAGTCACCCACGAAAAGGGTTTAAAGGTGACATGAGGCAACATTTTCTTTAACCAGCCTAAGTTATTGTAAGTTAGAATCTGCAACCAGAGAGTGCCATGGAAGACAGTGCAATAGAGAGAGTCAAAACAGAATTAGATAAAAATCTACAGGGAAAGAAACTACAGATCTTTGGAGACGGACAGAGCAGTGGAATTCATTGGATAGCTCTAGAAGGGAGCTAGTACAGGCACAATGGATTGAATGGCTTCTTTCTATAACTGGTTGGTTTATTGATTATAAAGAAAGCCTTTTATCAAGAAATTAAGCATTTCCTCCTGACTGTGACTCTGAAAATATGAATCAGCCATTTAAGACTGAGGTAAAGAGAAATTACGTCTGCCAGAGGGTTGTAAAACTTCAGAATTTTTAATCCGAAGTGAGATGCGGATGCTGAGTCATTGACTATTCATGGCAGATTGACACAGCATGGTGGCTCAGTGGTTAGCACTGCTGCCTCACAGCGCTAGGGACCCGCATTCAATTCCAGCCTCAGGCCACTGTCTATGCGGAGTTTACACATTCTCCTTGGAACTTGCAGGTGATGGAGTTCCCATGTATCCACTGCCCTAGTCCTTCTAGATGGTTGTGGTTATGGATTTGGAAGGTGCTATTGAAGGAGCCTTGGTGAATTACTGCAATGCATCTTGTAGATGATTTAGATACTGCTATTAATTGTCCGTAGTAGAGAGGATGAAAGTTTGTGGATGTGGTGCCAGTCAATTGGGCTGCTTTGTCCTGGATGGTGTTAAGTTCTCAAGTGTTGGAGCTACACTCATTCCAAGCAAGTGGGAAGTATTTTATCACACTTTTGACTTGCATCTTGTATATATTGGACTTTGGGGTGTAGAAGGTGAGTTACTCTGACTTGCTCTTGTTGCCATTGTAATTATATGACTAGTCCAGTTGAGTTTCTTGTAAACAGTAACCCCAGGATGTTGTTAGTGGGGTCTTCAGTAATGGTAGTACAATTGGATGTCATAGCGCCATGGTTAGATTCTCTGTTGTTGGAGATGGTCATTGCCTGGCAATTTGTTTGATAGAAATATTACTTGTCACTTGCCTTTCCAAACCTGGATGTGGTCCAGGACTTGCAGCATATGATCATTTAGGGAATCATGATATCAGCAGGGAACATTCAAAAGACCTCCCTTGCCTGATATTTGAATACAAGAAAACAATTCATTTCTCATGGGTTAATGCTTCTTTTGAAGTAGCAGAAAGGTGAATGACACACACGTCTTAGCTACAGACATCAAAAACAATACATTTTGGCCTTGATTCTTCCAATAGCTTACACAGTATCTGAATTAGATCAAGGGTCTCACAAGTTGTCATCTGCCTGTAACCAAACAAATCAAGTTACAAGTAGATAAACATATGAACAAGGATCAGGAGAAGGTAGTGAAGCCCTCGAGCCTGCTCCACCATTCAATATGATCATGGCTGATAGGATTATAACTTCAAATTGACATTCCTGCCTGCAGCAGGGATGTCTCGCTACAATTGCACAGTGCTTTGGCGAGACCACACACGGAGTACTGTGTGCAGATTTGGTCTCTGTACCTGAGGAAGAATGTTCTGGCTAGGGAGACAGTACAACAAAGCTTTGCCAGTCAGCAGGACTTATGAATGAACAGAGACCAGATTGGTTAGGACTATATTCATTGGTGTTTAGAAGAATAGGTGAGGTAGGGGGGATGATGGACCTCATAGAAACTTATGAAATTCTAACAGGACTAGAGAGTCTAAATGCGGGAAGGATGTTCCCGATGCCTGGGAGGTTCCAGAACCAGGGACCAGTGGGGTAAACAGAGGTCATTGTTTAAGGATATTGGGTAAACCATTTAGGGATGAGGAGAAATTTCTTCACCCAGAGAGTAGTGAGCCTGTGGTATTCTCTGTGACAGAAAGCGGTTGAGGACAAAACATTGAACGTTCTCAAGAAGGAGGTAGATGTAGTTCTCCTGGCTAAAGGGATCAAGGGGCTTGGGAAGAAAGTGGGAATAGAGTTTGGGTTGGATGATCAACATCTCCCACAGCTCCTCTGACTGTGCTGACAATTGCTGACTTCTTCCAGGAATCTTTACCTTGGTCTCAATGTCAACCAGTTTGAAAATAGTATCATTCAGCTGCAGGATCATGTCTTGTCCCCAGATTTTACCCTTGGCATCAAGCAGCTTTAGTTTGTTGATGCAGTGATCCACCGTCGCCATCTCCTTTGAGTTGAGGTCACAGGTAATCAGGTGCTGCACACAGAATTCAGAGAAGAATTGCAGTAAACATCAAGTGAATGCTGGAATGCTAAAAGATAGCAATGAGTTCAAGTGAGCTGAGGTACACTTTTTGTCCCCTCACTTCAAGATTGTCTTTTTATTCCCCCTGAGATCCTTTCACTCACTGGGATTTTATATTTTGATTGATGATATTGAGATGGCTGCCTGTTATATGCCTCTTCCGTTTCCCCTTTCCAATTAACGCCTCCTTTTTGACACCCACCCTGCCCACCGAACAATACCCAAACTTTTTGAAAGCTCTTATCCAATGAGAGGTTTCTCCCAAAGAGGAATTTGAATGTGTAGAGCCCTAGTGGGAGATTGGGACAATAAGACCCAGGCCAGTGTTGTATTCAGCTGGTATGGGACCCCTGCCATCTATTCCACTGTAGCAATGTATTCAGAAGATAGTCTAGACCTTAACTTTTCTCATTTTAAAAGTAAGTGTAAAGTGTTGCATTCTGATGCAATTTGATCGGTCAATCTACCAGATTTAAAGCAAAACACACTTTGTTTTTACATTATAGTTAAAATACAACAAAAGAAAGAGGAAATTGGACCAACTTAATTCAATTCAAAGACTTTACAGGATGATAGATTATTTTACTGCTAAACAGTAACTGTTCCAATATAGTAACATCCCATAAACACACCCACGGCAAAGGCAAAGACAATACAATAGATTGCTTCACATGTAATTCTCACAGCTCCAGAAGAAAAACATCAAGAGAAAACTCTGAGAGTGTGCAGCAGGGAGGGATGCATTGCACCTTCCAAACTCTACTGAGACCCTGGCAAGAAGTGCTATTGAAAAATTAAAATATCCTGGTTCTGTGAGAGCTTGACCACACCCATTCAGGCTGCTTCTATTATCCCTACCTAAAAAAAACGTAGGCCTCACAAACTGTTTACACTAATAGCTCTGCGTAGACTGCTCACTACCTCTGCCTTAAAACTCTCTTCAAAAATAAAGCCAGGTCAAAATATACCTGTTAAAGCCATAGTTTCATCACAGAGTACTCAAGATTTACAACTTTATAATAACGTCAAACTGTCATATGTTGACAACAGACTGCCATTGATGTGAGTCTGTCAAAATCATCATTCTAAAGTGTATCAATGATACCATATTGTACTGTCTTTGCAATGCTGTCACACAATATTAGGTTTTCCACCATCATCATTTGGCAATGTACCCACAGCCTTCCGACAGATCTAGAAATCAGGTGGCTACCATCTGAGTTACAGTTGATTATTTATCTAACATTACAGTGATTCTGTCAAACTATAATAGCGCATTGGGCCCGACCTATAATACCCTAGCAACTCCCTAAAAAGCTTATAAATTTTTTTTAAAAATCAGTGACACAGACCTCGACCCGGCACTGAATGACATTTTCCATGGAGCTAACAGCCTGTGCATAGGCCTTTCTTTGTTCTGTTGAATAGTAAGAGAAAGAGATCATTAGGATGCATTTAGAGTCAAGATTGCAATAGCTGCACAAGTAAGTGTTAACATGAAGGACACTATCTGTACACAAGATCAGCTTTGGCCTCTCCTTCTGCGATGCTGGTGTTCCTTTGTGTGAAATTGCCTCATTTGTTAATTACCTCCCTGAGCAAGATCTGCCAGCGGATATCCTTTGGAACAAGGAATGGGGAATGACGGTAAGTAACCAGATAGTGAACTGCGTCAAATCCCATCTCTCAAATGGCAGGCTGTGACCATTCTTTTAACTCATTCATGGGATGTGGATGTCATTGGCCTGGCCAGCATTTATTGTCCATCCCTAACTTCCCCATAGAACAGTTCAGAATCAACAACATTGCTTCGGGTCTAGAGTCATATGTAGAGCAGGCCAGATAAGGATGGCAGTTACAAAAATAGAAATTGCTAGCGAAACTCAGCAATTCTGGCTTTGAGTCTGACAAATCTTCATCAGTCATTGGACTCGAAACGTCGACTCTGCTTTCTTCCCACAGGTGCTGCCAAACCTTTTGAGGTTCACCAGCAATTTCTGCTTTTGCTTCAGATCTCCAGAATCCACAGTTCTGTGTTTTATTTAAGGAGGGCTGTTAGCTTCCCTAAAAGACATTGGTGAACCAGATGGATTTTTCCGATAATCAGCAATGGTTTCACTGCCTTTGGGCTCTCAATTCCAGATTTTTTGTTCTATGAACATTGAAGGTGGTGGATGCAGGTGTTTCTCAAGTGGGTTGCTTTGTCCCAGATAATGTGGAGCCTGTTGAGTGTTGTTGGAGCTTTGCTCATCCAGGCAAGTGGGGATTATTCCATCATACTTCTGACTGGTGCCTTGTAGACGGCAGAAAAGTTTTGGGGAGTAAGGAGGCGAGTAACTCACCACAGAATTCCAGGTTTCTGACCTAGTTTTGCGGCCACAGCATTTATATGACCAGTCCCATTCAGTTCCTGGTTAATGGCAATCCCCAGAAGTTGATGATAGAAAATACAATGATTGTTGTGGCATTGAATATCAAGGGGAGAAGGTTAGATTTTCTCTTACTTGAACTGGTCTTTGCCTGGCATTTGTGTAGTGTGTGCTATTTAGCACTTATCAGCCTAAGCTGGAAATATTATCCAAATCTTGCTGCGTGCAAACACAGTCTACCTCATTATCTGAGCAGTTGCGAATGGGACTGAACACTGTGTTTTCACACCTACTGGCGTATAATGTCTAAGCCCACACAGTAGGAATGCCAATTGACAAACTGTTGATAGGATGGCCATCTATTTCTCATACTGTTTAAAACTTAACTAAGACACGTAAAATTCTAATCGGGTAGATGCTGGAAAATGCTTTCTATCGGTTGAGATCTAGAATTACAAATCAGAATCTCAGAGTGAGGCATCATCCAATCAGAACTGAGATGAGGAGCAAATTCTGGACTCAAACAGTTGCGGGTGATGAGATTTCCTGCATCACTGAGCAGCAGATGCTCAGTCGTTGAGGATATTTAAGTCTGAATTAAATGGATTTTTGGGTACAAGCAGAATTAAGGGAAATTGGGATAATGCAGCAGGTGGAGTTGAGATAGAAGATAAGCCATGATCTTGTTGAATGATGGATTAGTTTTGATGGGCTGAAAGGCCTACTCCTCTTTCTCATGTTCTAGATTCTGTGGGACATCATCAACAGCAGATGTATACATCACCACAATCTGTAACCCTCATGATCAAGAAAACCCCTTACTTTGCCATCACTGGTAATCCTAGGCAAAAGAATTGAATGAGGGATAGGGAAGACCCCACTGTAAGTGAAAATGGTGTGCCGGCTCTGGGGAATCTACAACGAAAGGCCACAAAGTGGTTCAAGCAATATGTTATAGATGGGATTTTGCAATCCAGCAGCCCATGAACGAGGGTAAAGTTCCTCAACTCTGCCACACCCAAATGCGCATGGCAGTATGCAATCAGGTAGCTAACCAGCAGAGGAGGATCCACACACCTATGTTATTATCAACAATAACAAAGGTCAGAATGTTACAATGCTGAAGTGGCTACAAGCTTTTTCAAACAGATGTTTTGCTCGCATGCTCCGTTTGACCTCCCCAACTTCACAGACACCAACATTTAACTAACTCCATCTACATCACATGACATTGAGAAACGCCTGAGAAAACTAGACAGAATAATGCTTATAATGCCAGATGTAATTCCTAAAGACCTGTGTTATACAAATAGCCATGTTTATAACCAAACTCTCCTTGCTTCACTTACACAGGTAACAAAAATCTAACACTTACGATAAATTGTCTGAGCGCTTGGTCTCTTGGAGATGCTTTGGGACCTTTCGAATGGGGATTTTTCAGAATGAAACCCACTGGAGAGAAAAATAAATACAACATGCTTATCAAAATATGAGGCTGATATTTCTCAACCATTGTTTTATGATTGTTACTTTCATTGCACAAGAGCCATGCCAAATAGAGAAAACTGACTGCAGCAATATGTTAATGTTATGAGCCTGTGATGTACCTTTTTTAAATAGCATTTCATTATCAACAGATGGGATTCAACAAGGCCACGAGCATTAAATTTGAGACCTGGAAAGCTGTTTGTTAAACCATCAGCAGGAGTTTATAACTTCCTTCCTTGATGCACTAACCCAACCCAACAGAAAACCAGGATTAAAATGTGTCACACTGCCATGAGCTATTAACAATTAACAGGCCACTTGGTAGAACAGCAGCCAGAGGAATTTCATCTGGACAAATGAAGGTTCATAGCTCATAGAAGAGTTCATAGAATCCCTACAGTGTTCCTGGCCCTTTGGCTCAACAAGTCCACACCGACCCTCAGAGCATCCCACCCAGACCCATCCCCCTATAACCCACCTAGTTTACACACCCCTGGACACTATGGGCAATTTTGCATGGCCAATCCACCTAACCTGCACATCTTTGGACTGTGGGAGGAACCTGGAACATCCGGAGGAAACCCATGCAGACACAGGGAGAATGTGGAAACTTCACACAGACAGTCACCTGAGGGTGGAATCGAACCCGGGTCCCAGGTGCTGTGAGGCAGCAGTGTTAACCACTGAGCCACCCGTGAAATTGTACATGTCAATTTTACCACCAAATTAGTTACAATTTGCTTTGGTATACCTGAGATTATTCAATCTAAAAGTGACGATCAGGTAAAGACCTACATTATTGTAGGACTTTTCCATTCTCAGGGCATCACAATGTAATTCATAGGTTGAGATGACCTTTGTTTTTTCATAGATAAATGAGTCCACATGCAATCAGATCTCTTGAACTGTAAGTGCGATCAGTTAATCTGTTTTGGGTGACCTTAATTGAGTACTCAATGCTGGTCAAAATTTAGGGAGAATGTCCTGGGAATCTGTAACATTGAACTGTATAGCCTGATAGGTCGTCAGTCTCACATCAGATTTAAAAGACAGTGCTCCCTCAGTAATGCATCTGAATGTCAGCCTATGTTCTGTATTCAGGTTCTCCAACACAGCTTAAGCACACACATTTCCGAGGTGCAAACCAAACCATTAGAATATACCATAATAACACATGAACAATCTGTAACTTCATTTATCAGAATTTTCCCAATAACTATATCCAATGTTATCCCACTTAATGGAATGCTTTGATAAATTTGTGAATAAAGTGGGTACACTCCATCTTGATAATATATACAATGGATAATGACCTACATGAACTAAGAATAACTTTAAAGTTACAGAATTATGTGGTAATGGTTTATTTAGTTTGTGATCATGTGAAATATTGGCATACAAAACTAATCCTGCACTCAAACAGAAAACTTAGGAAAGGCCAGATAATCAGTGATCCAATTTGGATCAGTAAAGTGTTGGAAAATGAATTTATTGTGTCTGATAAATGGGAGTAAAAGATCATAGAATCCCTACAGTGTGAAAACAGCCCCTTCGGCCCAACAAGTTGTCACTGGCCCTCAGAAAATCCACCCAGACCCATCCCTCTAATCTACACATCCCTGATCACAATGGGCAATTTAGCATGGCCAATCCACCTAGACTGCACATCTTTGGACTGTGGGAAGAAACTGGAGCACCCCAGGAGGAAACCCATGCAGGCACAGGGAGAATGTGCAAACTCCACACAGACAGTTGCTTGAGGGTGGAATTGAACCAGGCTCCCTAATGCTGTGAGGCAGCAGTGCTAACCACTGAGACATCGTGCCAACCTAAAGAGTGAGGTTGAGCTCAGGATTCTGTATGCATGAATAGATTGACATTTGTTGTGTTCTGAAATTATTTTTAAATTCATATTAAACAGATTCCATATTCTTAAATAAAGAAAGACACAGGAGGTGCTGGAGAAACTCAGCAGGTCGGGCAGCATCAGTGGAAAGAGAGAGATAGCATTAACGCTTTGAGTCCACTATGACTGTTCTTCAGAACTAAAATGCCGCAGGCTTTACTCTCTCTAAGATGGAAGTCTTGGCTGAAGCCATTACTGACACATCACCACCAGCAGAAGTCCTCACTAACCCCATTCCATGCCACCATGGTTTGATGCTTACACATTTTCAACCTACTTGCGCAGTGATAAAGGCACAATGTAAAATTCGTACTCAACTAGCTGGGATATTAGAAAGCTTGACATCTAGTGACCCATCTCTCAATTCTAGCCTCCAATTTCTCTTATAACATTACTATCTTTCTACTCTCATCGCATTTTATTGATGTTGTTGTATTCCTCCCAACTTGCTTTATAAGCTTCTAATATCAGTCTGACTGTGAAACACTTCTGGATGTTCTAAGGTGATGAGCAGTGCAATATAAATGCAGGTCATTTTTCCTATGCATCCTCATTGTGCTAAAATGGAGCCTCGCTCTGCTACCAGCCACTCCATTTTATAACTCCTCAAAATTGTAGAAACAACCCATTATTCAGTTTTTAAATTATGAATTCAGTGTTGTTGCTGTTTGTACATCTTGTCTTTAATAAATTTCATCTTTCAGGACTGCCTGTACTGTGGGTACACAATGTTGTGATTCTGCCTGGCAGGTAGTCTGCTGTGAGTCTGCAAGCTGGCCCACAGAAATCAGTTGGATTGTTGTCACGTCTGTTTGAAAACTTGTAATGTGTTTTACAGTTTTCAATCAACTAACTTACAGAGTTAATCAATCTCTGATGAACGATTGATCTTATGATTGTTATCATTAACAACTAGATTTCAATTAACTTTGTCCCTTATTAATTGGTAAAGTGAAAGATTAGATTGACTTCAATATGTCCCAAAGCATTTCACAGCCAAATGTCATGATCATAATGTAGGGAATGCAACAGTCAATTTGCACAGTCAGCTCCCACAAACAGAATGATATTTTTGTGATATTATTTAAAGGGTAATTATTGGCCAGAAGACCAGAGACAGCACCTTGTTCTGTGAAGCAGTATCATGGGATATTTTATGACAACCTTAAAGAATAGGTTTGGAATAACATCTCATCTAAAAGATTAACAATTTTGGAATGTTTAATGTTCGTTCCTGAAGAGAAAGAAAATGGCTGGTATGCTAAAAGTCTGTGAAGTTATCAATTGGAAAACTAGCTTTTGGCAGATTATAAATTATCAATGAATCACATAGATTTCAGAGAGTGTCCAGTCAGCTATCATGCATATTATTGAAGCTCTAATTTAATCTCCTTGTAACATTTGTGATTTAAAGCTTTGTCAGTCATAGTTTCATTACAAAAGTGTAATCTTATACTCCATTGCAGTAGTGAGCAAATGCCGCACTGTCAGAGGTGCCACCTTTCAGCTAACTACCTTGCTTTATCTCTCAGGTGGATATAAAAGTTCACACAGCATCAGTCAAAGAAGAGTAAATCACATATCCCTGGTGGCTTAACAAATGGTAATCCCTCAAATGACATGATGTAAGCTGATTATCACATCATAATCTATGGGATCCTGCTTTGTATAAATTGACTTTCATATTCCAACATTATCTAATAGTAATTTTAAACATCTCCACTTTCCCAATCTCTTGTACGATATTTCAGCCAAATTTCTACTAAGCCAGCTATTAAATCAATTTCCAAAACCAAATTTTTCAACTGTCCACCATGCCACCATTTAAACCTATCCCCATGGCTTGCTCTTGCATCTGTCAGCTATTTTACAAATTGCCCAGTATCCCAGGGTTAACTCTAAACCACAAGCCAGCTATGCTGCAAAATAATTACAGAAATTAGTTCACTTGGCATTCATTCTAATGGCAGCACAGCATTTTCCTTTGTCAGTTCCCTACTAGGGAGGAAATTGAAATGCTTTGGATGCAAATATTGCTGTAACATGTAAATTTTTGCCCAGTGCCAAAATCTTCAGCCAAAGTCTTATTGGAGGATGATCACAAGAAAATAATATACGAAAATAGGACTAGGAGTCAATTAGCTCCTTGATCCTGCACTGTCATTAACGAGACCATAGCCGATCTCTGATTTAACTTTGTTCCAGTTTCCTTCAATCCTTCAGCTAAAAAAAGTCTATCAGTTTCAGCTTAAAACTGCATAATTGATGTAGCATTGATTGTTGTTTGTCGAAGAAAGTTCCAAATCTCCACCAGCTTTCCCATGAAGACGTCTGTCCTAATTTCACTCCTGAGAGGTTTGTCGCCAATTTCCTGTCTCGTCTCTTGTCCTGCACTAGGGGAAGTAGCTTCTCAGAATTTACCCTCTGTGCCCCCTTCCCCATGTGTAATGCCACAGAGTGAGAGTTTGTGTTTAGCTTTAGTGATTTACTCACCTGGTGAGCAATTGATTGTGGTGATGCCACTGCTGCCATAGTTAATTTTCATAACCTAAAATTAACTTTGTTCGTCCATTGCAAATCACAGGTGTCCTGCCCCATTGGAACTGGGACTGTTGGAATTTTCCTTGCTGCCTTGTATTGTACCTGTCTACATTGGGTTGAGTTTGGCTGTGTTGGCAGTACCAGTGACTTGCAAATCAAAGGCAGGAAGTAAAAAGAACAAATATTGGATTTGAGTGTGTGGGTCGAGAGGGCAGTGTCAGGGGAGTGCTGTATTAATGCAGATGCTAGTGTTCGAATGAGGCATTGAAGGCTCATCTACCTGTTCACACCACTGTAAATGATTCTTGTGAGTGCTGTGTTTGGGTAACAGCCAGGAAACATCTCTTCCTCAACCCACACCAGCAAAGAGATAACGACTGGTCAATCATCTCATTTGTGGGATCTTGCCGTGTAAATTGGCCACCACAATTTGCCAAAGCAATATTAGTGACTATGCTGCCAAAGACATTAAACTGTTGGTGCTGTTTTGGGAAGTCCTGAGGATGATACAGAATCT